CTGGGGCAACACAGGACTGGTGAGGAGGGAGGGGGCTGTGGGTCAGTGGGCATCTGACCCCCTCCCCGGGCGTAAATGCGCTTACGTTTCTCCGGACTCCTGGAGGGTCGCGGGGGTGACGTAATGCGCTTTGGGCCCTTACAGGGCTAAAGGGCTCCCCTCACCTGCCTGGGAGCATGAGGGGGAGAGCCCTCCATACTATAGTCTGTACACACTCTGCACAGGGTCAGTGTCTGAGTGTGGGGACATAGGGGGCACTTGCATTCTCCCCGTGCTCTTTAGGGACTCAGGAGAGAGGGTGCATAGTGAACCCATACAGCTGCGGACTTTCCCTGTCTGCCTATAGGCGGACGCAGGGGAGCCCTCAGCACTGTTTTCGAGCACACTTTTTTGCGAGGCAAGCGCGTCAGGGTGTGCTCTATCGGCCGCAGCCTGGACTTCTCCACGGTTACAACCGAGGGAGAGGTGAGTGAGGCGCAGCGGCTGCTAAAGCCGGTCAGGGACAGTGAGGTGGAACGGTGTGCTGGATGATAGTGCGTGCATACATCGGGGCTCCGCCCACTGTACCCATAGAGTCCAGTAGAGGGCGGAGCCTGTGAGAGATATAACGCCGGGTTACGTATTGTAACCCTTGTTATATTAGCACAGGCGGAGCCCTCTACCCTGGGGCACTGTCTGTCCTATACCGCTCGCTGAAGAGTGGTGAAGGATGATGGTCAGGAGGCGAGGCCTCCTTTTATACGGAAGTGAGATGCGCACGCATTCAGGTAGGCCCGCCCCAGGGGCCGACTACGTCTATAGAAATCTCAGTAGGTGAATGCTTGCATGATAAGGTAGTACCCATAGAGTCCAGTAGAGGGCTCCGCCTGTGCTAATATAACAAGGGTTACAATACGTAACCCGGCATTTCCCTCTAATAAAACCTTGTGAGGTCATAGAGGGAAAAGGTTATGGATAAAGAGAAAATAGAAAGCGTAGTAATAACCTTAGTTTTAAATATAAGATCCAAGTTTTTAGGATTTAAGTGAAAGAGCAAGAACCAAAATGTAGGTGAAGAGACACAGCGTATCTGCGTCAAAGCACTCTCATTAGGTTATTTTATCAACTATAAGCTTTATCAAAAGGAAGGTCTTAAGCGTACTCTTAAAACAGATAGGTTGTCTGCCGCCAGAACACAAACTGGAAGCTGATTCCATAAAAGTGGAGCTTGATAAGAAAAGGCTAGAAGGCCAGAGAGAAGAAGTGAGTTTTAAGTGTTGATTTCAAAACCCCGAATGTCTGGGCCGACCTCACGTGGAGGGGCAGAGTGTTCCAGAGCCTATGGCCCGCACGCTGCGAATGCTCGGTGCCCTCAGGTTTTGAGCCTGGTCTTGGGCACTACCAGCAGCAGCTGGTCAGCCGACCTTAAGGCTCTGGCTGGGGTGTAGCGATGGAGGAGTTTGGCTATATGTGTGTACCTCCACCATTAAACTGTCATATTCTGCACATTTCTTATACTACATACATAAGAGTATAATTCATAAGGCAAGGCAAGTTTATTTATATAGCACTTTTCTGTACGCGACAATTCAAAGTGCTTTACAAAACAAATTAAAATACTTTTTAGGAATAAATACAAAAAACACATTATATAATGGCATTTTACAACAGGCATTACAAAGCAAAGATAATAAAAAATAAACACCACAGGTATACAATACATGTTTAAAAGGCATACTGTAGTGCGAATATGAGCAGCTCAATTAAAAGCAGCGGCAAAGAGATATGTTTTTAGTCTCGATTAAAAAATAGTAAGCGTTTCTGCGGACGTGCATGATTTGGGTAGTTTGTTCCAGCTTGTCGGGGCATAACAGCTGAATGCTACCTCTCCATGTTTTGTTTTTACTCTCGGAACCGATAGCAGACCCGTCCCAGAAGACCTGAGGCACCTTGATGGCTCGTAATTATGTAGGAGATCAACAATATACTTTGGTCCCAAACCATGTAATGATTTAAAAACTAGCAATAGTACTTCATCAATCAATTATTTGGCCGACTGGAAGCCAATGTAAAGATTTCAGAACCGGACTGATGTGATCCACTCTTTTAATGTTAGTGAGGACACGTACAGCGGCGTTCTGAATCAGCTGCAGCTTTCTGATGGATTTTTTTGTCAGCCCTGTGAATACACTATTGCAGTAGTCGAGTCTACTAAAGATAAAAGCATGGACAAGCTTTTCTAAGTCCTGTTGTGACATTAGTTTTTTAATCCTCGATGTGTATATATATATATACATTATGTATATATATATATATTATGTGTGTATATATATATATACATTATGTATATATATATATATATACATTATGTATATATATATATATATACATTATGTATGTATAATATCAGTTAAAATAAGTGCTTCAACATAGTTAACATAGCAGGAAAGCAATATATTAGTACTTTGACAGGCTTAATATCTATCTGTTGATAGATACCCCCAAAGCTTTTTTCTTATTTAAAAGAAGACCTTAACCTAAAGTATTCTTTAATGTTTAAATAAAGGTTAATTAGTTTTCCTGTTTTGCACATCCTCCTATTAATATCTTTGTACATCCGGCACTAAACTGTTTTATTGTAGAGATCACTTACAGTATCTTCTTGATGTTTTACATTCTATATTTCTATCATTGACCTTCTACTTTCCCCCTATGAAAGTATGTACTCTTAATATTTTTTTCATCAAATATAACATAAAAAAAATAACGTGCTTTAACCACTAGGCGGTGCACACAAGGTACACACAGCATAGAATGCCATAATAACTTTTTATTATTGTATAGGACACTTATGTATGTATAACATCTGAAGATGTGTAGTTTTATTCATTTTTTTACATAATTTTAGAGCATATTGCTATATTATTTCACATGTTTTACTTCTACACATTAATATCTGATTTGTAAAACAGACAGAAAGGAATATCCGTCATTTAATGATAAGCTATTGACATTCTGTCTCCCATCACCCAAAACCCCTGACTATTCTCTCAACTCAGTATTTACATTCTTATATTCAAAGAAAATCAGTAATATCTTTAAAAACTACAAGTCCTTTTCTATCAGCTGTGCACCGTTATGGTGTAAATATAACCTATCTACCAATTGGATCAAATCTAAAAGTCAGCCGAATTAGTGTTGATACTGCAAGGAGACGTATTTTGTGAAGAGAAATTGAAGATGTTGTTTAATTGTTGATATATTTATGATCCACGTCACGTATTCAGTTTCCGTGGCAGTTCTTCAAGTTTGTCCAGAAGTCTTCTCATCAGGGAATAAATAAATAAATAAATAAAGAACTACGGCAGATATGTAATATTTAATGCAGCCGAACCGTGTATTACAATGCCGTTATGTGATGACTTCCAAAGAGAAAAGCAAGCACACTCGGATTAAAGTATTATTTTCTTTTTTTAAATGTTTTTCGGATTAACACCATATCCCAACGTGCATTGCGGCTAAACAATCCATTCACCGAGCTTCGACCATAGCTGAGGATCTTGGGTAATCAGTTCAGTGGGGGTGTATCTGTTTCCGGTTATTTTATTTTGAAATTCAGTTCCTGACAGACGGCAAAAAAGCCAGAGATTATAGAATTAAACAAATAAATAAAGACAAGGATAATTGTGTGTTATTGTTGAGTACATAACAGTGTGTTATTTAGAAAATAATAACAAATTAGAAGGAAAAAAATACAGATTTCAGTATTCTTGGGCTCTGAGCCCCATTTATTTTCCTCACGGATGGCAAAAAAAGTCCGACATTATACAATTTAAAATAAAAACAATAATCGTGGCTTAATATTGAGTAAGAACATGTTGTTATGAACCACACAGCTTCCGGTCTTCCAAGACCCGAACGGACAAAAAGACGTGCTGCAGGCACGAAACACACTACCAATAGAAATACATTGCTTTTAAAATCGTTCTGTGTGAGACGAAAAAAAGGGGGAAATCGTGTTGGTGAACACGAATCAATAGATTACATGTTGTGAAATGCCGTGAGACTGGGTTGTAAATCGACCCCTCTCTCATAATTATTGTTCTTTAGACAAAATATTTATTCTAGGTCAGTACTTCTACTCAGGCATCTTCCCTATCAGCTAAAACGTTCAATCTGGACTGGCACGCTGATAAATGTACTTTAAAGGTCCTGAAAATATATTTATCTTCTTACTCTGAGTGACGGGTCCTTTATGAATAATACATTTGTTCCAACATTTAAACAGTTCTCAGTATTTCACATGAAAGAATTATGTACTTGTGTATTTGTTCTTTGTTTGTTTAACTAGTTAAAAATTACATTCTTAACAAAATATAACTAAGGATTCCCACACTTAGATTTTGTCTGTTGCTTATTTAGTCGGAATTATTCAGGCTAGGAGGTTGGGGTGGATGGGTTGGTTTATTGGCTGGACTTTGACCCAGGAGACCTCTATCACATGACTTCTGTACTAAAGTAATGCCACTTCTATAAATGCTTTAACTCAGACCTGGATCTTTTTCCAAACCTAACCAAGTAGTTTTGTTGCCAATACATGACTCACAAGATTGTGTGCATGTAAGAAGCTGAATTGACACCTGTCGCTGGACATTAATATGAATGAAGATTGAGGAAAACATACAAACTGTTTAAAGAAAGATACATCAGAATATTAAAAGATATATAGAATTAGTTACTATTTTGAACCAACTCTTGAGGGGCTTAAAAAGGAATTAAGCATGTGTTGGCTATGGCATGCTATACAGAAAAAAAAACCTATATACTTTATAGACGAAAATAATGTGCAGTTGTGTGTGGACTTAAAATGATGTCAATTGTAAAGCTATTATAGAAAAATACAAATTTGTCTCATGTATTCCAGAACAAGCATTGTATTTCCAAACCAAATATGTTGATGTACTCTTTTGAGCCATGATGAGTCCTTAATCATTCCTCCTTGATGTGTTTCTGTTTGACAGATGAGGGCCAGACGGTGTGCGGCTCACCTGCTGACATGCAGGGCCGTCGTCTTGGTGAGGTGGGCATCCAGCTACGGACGTTATGTCACCAGACCCTGGACTCCTGGGACTACCTTTTCTTTTTTGTCATCGGCTTTGTCATCTTTGCTGCTGGCACCGTGTCGGCCTGGGTGATGGGCGTCATTATGGTGCTCTATGAGCGCTACATCAAGAGAAAAGAGGAGCAGCTGGACCCGGAAGATGAGGAAGAACTCGGTGACAGGAGAGACCATGGCAACGGGAATTTGAAAATGTCACATACTGTTTAAAACATTTATTCCCACTCTTCCAATTTAGGATTTCCCACAGTGCCTTGTGACTACTTCCAGGACTGTATGTGAAGTTTTATTACACTTCAGTCAAACTGAGTCTGTTTAACAGGCTCCGCCCTGAAAGAGAAAAGAAAGGATTCAACAGAGAATCAGAATGTCATTCTTCACATTTGGAGTGGGCTTTCGGGTGATGTAACACTCTCTGGCTGCCATTGTGGAGCTCTCTAGGTCCTGGTTATTACTGACCGCATATGCAAATGTATGACTATGTAGTATTTATTTATTACTTTGTAATTTTTTACAGGGATAGAGCCAATAAGCTGGTTATCTTGGAAGCAGCTAGCTGGTCTGACTGTGACCGAATGCTTTAGCTTTGTTGCTAAGAGTCAGAGAAGATTAGTACCACTCACATTTCTCTCATCAATTGACTTTTGATCGTTTTTAACTATATGTTAGAATTTTAGTCATCAGATGATCTTAATTTAACAGAGAAAAAGGCAAAGCAACAATGCTTGTTAGCTGGCAGCCTTTCCAGACGGACGTTGAACAGCATTGGAGACACACTGAGTTTGATCAGAGAACTCAAAAAACAAGATACTTGTTTACAGTTTCAGAGGTGCTAGTAGTTGTATTTTGTTACCTTTTTAACAGAGCTCAGCTAGCTGTTTCCCGTTCTTTCAGGACATTGTGCAAAGCTATGCTTACCGGCTGCAGGCTATAGGTTCAAATTCAAAGAACAAATGGAAGTGGTATCAATCATCTGACCTAACTCTTGTCGAGAATGCCAAAAATGTGTCTAGCTACCCATCGAAGAACAACAGTAATCAGTGGCAGTTCGAGATCAATTTGACTGGGGGGGCCAGGCTGGGGCCAGTTAATGCAGAACGAAAAAGACAAAGACAGTATGAAGTAAATGCGCATAAGAAAACGATGCAATACAGTTATTGGTACACATTTATTTCAGATACTTATAGTTACAGTTTTTACGCTCTATGGGTCCGACTAGAATGACAAATAACGTTAGTTCCGCCATTCCGTCAGCCAAGAAATCGTTTAATCATAAACTTTCATTTTCAGGGGGGCCACAGTCAGCATTACGGGGGCACTGCCCCCCCCCCTAGAACCGCCCCTGACAGTAATCATCAAAGACTAACTCTGACCATGATATTTTCAGCTACTTAAAAACAAGAATGTCAATGTTGTACAATTTGTTTATATCTACAACGTTACAAATTGGGTGGAAACACCTGACAAAAGTGAATGACAATCTATTTCTAGACCCTAGCTAATCCCTTATACCATAAAGATATTCAACATAATCTCCAGTGGACCTCGATAATGGCAACAAGAGAATTGTGACTTTACAACCCCATATGTGAAATTGTATGTGATATGATCTTTCTACTCATATGTTTGAGGAAAAGCATTCGTGTGTAAAGGAATACATTCGTGTGTAAAGGAATACATTTGTGCACAAAGATGTACACACTAATGTGTATCGTGCATGTTTGATTGAGCTTTTGCAGAACTGAGCCTTTTCGTTATTGGTCCAGTGGGCTGCAGTTCTAAACTGATAGTTTACCTCTCTCATCTACTCTGAAAAAAACTGCAGTTGAGGCATTTGTGTTGAAGATCTGTTTGTGAAGTTGACAGACAGCATGAGCCAACTGCTGAGGTCTGGTTTGGCAGTGGGCCCCGCTAGATGGCAAGTAAACAGGAGGGTGTGATAATTGATTTCCACTTCATTCTCTCTTTGTTGGCTGACTGGTTTGAGTGCAGTGTCCTCTCTGTTTCTGCATGCACTGTTGATGCACCAAACAGCCTTACGAGGTGTGTATAAGCTCTAATTCAATCATTAAAGAACGAAAAAGGATACTTTGAAGTGTTAACATTTGAGACTAATTCTACTGTCTGTACCACTGTCTGTTCCCCTGACTCGACTGTTATTAACTGTTATAAAGGAAGGGGCAGGATGAGGAGTCCTTGTTTTACTGGGGGAACAAATAGCTGATCCAATGTATGTGTGCTGTATCTGTACAATCAGTTGTGTCTCGGAATATATTATCATTATACCTGATTTAGGAACAAAATGGACTTATAAGGTATCTGAGAAGAAGGGTATCCTTCCACAAGGTTTGAACAAGCTGTTTTCCGCTCATTTTATGTTGTGCACATTTTATTAAAGTTTTATTACGAAAGTGTACAGATGATTGAATGTATGAAAATATAGGTTACTCATAATTTTCACAGAGGGCATCTTGACATCAGTGAGAAAAGCACAGGTGTAGCTAATAAAATAAATGACGGCCGGATTCCATTTAGCTTCTTCAATTTCAGGATATTGTGCATGCTGGTTTAATGCCACAATGCCATGGCTCACTGGGACACTTAAATGTTTTGTGAGCCTTATTGTTATTGGCATCCCCTATGCATTTATTTTACAAATTTGAAATGTCTGTTAAAAACGGCTATTATTTTGGCATTATGCTAATAATGATAATGGTTAATGTGAACTCTGACTCCACACAATCTGTTGTCTTTCTTTAATGTGATCTGCAATACCACAGAAAAAAGCTGTTTTCACACATTTACTGGCACTCGTACTGTATGCATATTAGTGGGATTTGTCCAGAATCAATTTCATATACAAAGTTATTGGTATTAACGATATAACAACATACTAAGCATGCTGGTTTTGGGTGGTTGAGTGTCAGCGTCAAACGCAAAGTTAATTATGTGCTTTACTCATTATAGACCCTTTTCAAACCATTTGATCTATAATTTCCCAAAAACAACAGGTGTAATCAATAAAATGATTGATGGTCGAATTCCATTTACATGCTCAGGTTTCAGGGCCCTGGTTTCATGCATCATTTAAGGTATTCATTTCACCTGCAGTTCTCACTGAACGGGTCGCCCGGGCACAAGGGCAAGCCAAGTTGCCTAAAAAGACAAAATGATTACAAAGAGACACAAAACTACTTAAAAAAGATCTTGACACAAAATGACAAAAAAGAGACAAAAAATAACTACACAGAGATACAAAATAACTACACAGAGATACAAAAGGACAACAAAGGGACACAAAACTACTATAAAGAGACACAAACTGACTTCAGACAGACACAAATTGACATGAATATATATAAAAACCACAAAGAAACACAACAAAAAAAGCTAATTATCCACTATAACGTTGTTGTCTTGCTCTTATGTAAGACAAATGGTGAGGACGGTGCATGTCTGTGCCCAGGGGCCCATTGTCTCATTTTCTGCACATGCCAGTGCTGCTCCTGCAATGAAAGGTCCAAATATTTGCTGATAAATGTCTATTGTGAAGTTGTTCCTGTAAAGCAGGGGTGTCAAACTCAAGGCCCGGGGGCCACATCCGGCCTGTGACTTCATTTAATGCGGCCCCACAAGAACTTGCAAAGAATATTATATGTTTATTATATGTTTACATGCCGATTTACAGGAGCACGTTGCCCATAAACTACATGTCCCACAATGCATCTCTCATTTGACTTTTTTCTTAGAATTTGACATTTTTTCTTCAAAATGTTACTTTTTTTTCTTCAAATTTCACTTCTTTTTTGGGATTTTGACTTTTCTTTTCCCCAGAATTTGACTTTTCTTTTAAAATAATTTTGTGACATGCGCACTGAAGAGACTTGCAGTTATTTGCCCTAGACTTATGCTTTCAGACGTAGTTAATTATGAAGTTATTACCCTATCAGATAATAATCTACGGAGCCCCTAAAGGGACATGTAAAAAAAAAAAAAAAAAACAGAGAGAAAAAAAAAAGTCAGGATAACGAGTTAGTATCTCGTGCGCACAAGAACGTTTCTCTCACAAGATACTAACTCGTTATCCTGACTTTTTTTTTACTAACTCGTGCGCACTTTTTTTTGTTGAGAAAGTTACCGGTGCGCCAAGGAGGAAGTGAAGCGCACAGGAGACAACCATTTCATTGCAGACTGTTATGTTTACGTGGGGAAATGACAGTGCATACATTATTTGAGATATATATCGTACTTAGACGGCTAGTGACGGGCGGCCCACTTTGGTACCGGCCCAATGGGATTCGTCCCGAACGTCCCGATGGCCAGTCCGCCACTGGCTCTGTGTGTGTGTGTGTGTGTGTGTGTGTGTGTGTGTGTGTGTGTGTGTGTGTGTGTGTGTGTGTGTGTGTGTGTGTGTGTGTGTGTGTGTGTGTGTGTGTGTGTGTGTGTGTGTGTGTGTGTGTGTGTGTGTGTGTGTGTGTGCGTGTGTGTGTGTGTGTGTGTGTGTGTGTGTGTGTGTGTGTGTGTGTGTGTGTGTGTGTGTGTGTGTGTGTGTGTGTGTGTGTGTGTGTGTTTGTTTCCCTATAAAACAGTACTCTGAGAGTCACGGACATTAATTCATAGATCAAAGCAGACTGGTTTACAGACTCGCCAGTGTTTTGCCAATCCGGTGCTTAAACCAATAGCTCTACAACCCTGGCCGAAATGTCCATACAATTAAGTCTGACTTCAAAATATATCTCAAATAATGTATGCACTGTCATTTCCCCACGTAAACATAACAGTCTGCAATGAAATGGGTTGTCTCGTGTTCCACTTCCTCCTTGGTGCATCGGTAACTTTCTAAAAAAAAAATAAAGTCAGGAAAACGGATTTGTTTCTCGTGCGCACGAGAAACAAATCCGTTTTCCTGACTTTATTTTTTTTCTTTCTCTCTCTCTCTTTTTTTTTTTTTTCCATGTCCCTTTAGGGGCTCCGTAATAATCCAATGCAGAGGCAATAATGTAATATAATACATTATTTTATATATATCAAATATTTATATATGTATTTTTATATAGTCTTAAAGTTACAACCGGCCCTCTGAGTGCAACCATAATGCTGATGTGGCCTGTGATGAAATTGAGTTTGACACCCCTGCTGTAAAGGGTAAACCATTTTCCAATACACTGCTGCTGATGTATGTCAGCATACAGTCAGGAGTGTGGGTATGTCTCTGTTTGATTGCACTCCCTCGTCATATAAGGGAGTGATCTTGACTCATGGCAGTATGCATTGCATGAACCATCCTAAGCACACTTATTAGCAGGACATACGTAATTGGATGCCAAAGTGTCAATCCAAGATAGTGACCGATCTACTCATGTTAGTTGCCGTGTGCTGAGATACCTCTGAACATATACTAATAATAATAGATTAATTTTGTTAGCGCTTTTACAGGTGCTCAAAGGCGCTTTACAGATAATAGTGAAAATAAAAGAACAACAAATAAATATATATAATTAAAGTCAAATAATACAAAAACAATCACACATTAAAAGCCAGATTGAAGAGTTGAGTTTTTGTAAGTTTTTTGAAGGTGGTGAGGTCAGTCTCTGATGGGTTATGGGAGTGAGTTCCAGAGGGAGGGTGGCGAGTTGGCCATATGGTGGCGAGTTGGATTTTGGGCATTGGGTGTAACATTTGCATGGCTTCATTCAGTAAAATATATTGATTCATCTGCATGTCTACTGAGATTTGTGTAGTGCACCCTCATTTATCTACATTCAACACATAGTCTCAACTGTGAGGGTGCATTACATTCTGCTAAGCTCACTGATTAGGCCATGTGATGCCATAGGCAAGGGTAAGGGTGCGGCCAGGAAATTGGAGAGCTAGCTGCCCTAATACATGTCAGCACAGTGAGGAAGATGGAATGCCAAGTCATAAACATGTGCATAGTTCTTGTGTACCATGCAAGCAAACACTTGGCTCTGAAGACTCTCACTATTGACAGTTTTTGTTTCCATATGGGCACTTGGTGGTACTGTAGGCCTATATCAGCAGAATAATATACTCAATGGATTTGCACTTTCGACACACCCACATTGCAAATACAGAACATATTAAGGCACAAGCATGCATGAGACAAAAGCATCAGTTCTGCCTCCATAATGGACTGCAACACCAGTCACCTCTGACTCCATTTTACTCTGTAAAAGCTTTGAAAATAAATGATCTGTACTCACTAACGCTACCAACACAAACGAGAACTGCACCTTCCTACATCAAACCTAAAACAAATTCAATTAAAAAAAGGTACACATTTTGGGATTAATGCTTGTTAGCTTTAATGCAGAGACCAAGGTGAGACGTTTGACACCACTTTGATGCCTGTAATTCTGAAGCTTCAGCCAGTAGCTTATTAGCTAAGCTAAAATCCTAAAAGCCAAAGGAAACGGCTAGCAGGCACCCAACTGTATTTTGACTGTATTATTTGCTTCAACAAAGAAGCATAGCGTTGCATTGTAGTATTCCTTGTTCCATTGAAGTTGAAATGTTATGAAGCCAAATCTAGCAGCGAGTTAGCTTAGCATAGCATACAAACTGGGAACATCTAGCTTGCTCTAGCAAAAGGTTGTCAGAAATCTCACTCTTGGCAAGAAAACATATTTCCCAAAATGTAATGCTATTGTTTGAAGTTGAAATACAGTGGTTCTAATGGAGATATCGTTGTGCCTGAGAATGGATGTGTGTTCACTTCTCTGTTTCCCATCACTTACCAAACATGCTGAGGCAGTGGTCAGGATGAGCTTCAGGACAGAGATGAACTCAGCTGGTTGGGTCACATTAACATCACATCTCTGACTGTCAGCCAGTTTGGTGAATAAACAAGGACATTCACACAGCTACTGCAGAAGCTTTTGCAGGTGTGTTTCCTGCCTGTGGATGTTTGCATCATTGTGTGCATCTGCTGGGACGAAGGCAAACTGTAAAAGGCCCGCAGATTGGATATGTGACATGAAGTGAGAGCGGAACTAACGGACCATAATAGCCTTCTGAAACATAACCAAACACGCTCGTTCCCACAGACACACAAAATAGGATGAAAATCCTTTTGTCACAGAGCAGTGGTATTACTTACACCAAAGTTAGAAATATGGGACATATTTTTCAGACACTAGAGCTAGGGAAAAGGCAGCCTGGGTTTCAGTTATTGCAAGAAAATGTCATCATTAATCCCTGCCACATATGGATGACAGCATCAAATTACTGTCTGCCAAATCCAACCTCAAAAAGCTGGAACAGAAACTGCTGCAAGTTATTATTAAGTTAAAAATATTTCCTATGCTTACAATTTGTAAACATATCATGTATAATCTCCTGGTTTGGCCCACACTAAAGCACAGAAAGAGGGACAGGAAGTAGGGAAATTGCCTTATTTTCATGAAAGAATTTGCATTGGTTTTCTCCAGTTTTATTTCCCTCACCATGTCCATCATTATCATATTACATTATAACCAGAAATAATGTATGTTGCATACTGTATGTCAATTTTTTGGACTAGACATTGACACACTCTGCTAAAGCCTCCTCTGCAAAAGTGGCTATTGATTGATGATGAAGAGTAAGCCCCTGCATCCACTCCGCAAAGAGAAGGACACTCCTGTTGAAACAGCTGTTGCATTTCTACACACAGGCTCAGGGGCCTGCCAACTCTGTATCCTTCACCAGCAATAAAAGGTCATTTGAGAGACGATGTTATGTCCTTTTGTGCGTCACAATTGGTTTGTTTTTCTTCTTGCTTGACCTCTCTTCATGCTCTTTGAATGTATTTGTTTAAACTTTTGCTCTCTGGGTATTTAGAAGGGTAGCTGGTGTCTAATTAGCATCCAAGTCAAAGACATAGTCTTTATTGGGTCCTTGTTAGCTCACAGATACAGGTATAACAGCACAAATGCAAACTCCCCCCCCCCACATGTGAAAAAGCAAACACACAACTGAAATGCATTGTACGTTAGTGTATTCTGGGTGCCCAGACTGGTTCACGATTATGGTAATCCAATAGAGCTGTCTGCAAAAGTGAGATAACGAGATGCTTACTCACACTAAGCTCCAATTCAAAACAGCACAATGATATTTCAAACTGAGACAGGGATCTGCATATTGGTCCAGGGTATTTTTGCTCAAACTATCGTGGAGCATGAAAGGGTCTTTCATTTTCCTATGACTTACTTCACTCCTCTCATCTCGTTGTATCCCTCCAATGCTTTATTTAACTTGTGATATTTGTGTCCATAAATCCTATTTTGCACCTGTCAACATACCTATTTCTGTCTTTGCTTCTGCATTCTGAAATGAATTGTTTGACTTTTTAGGAGAGGTACTTATTTGCGTTGTTGCTCAATATTGATACCACTTTCATGTCTGTTTTCTAAATATGAAGCTACAGCAAGCGGATTAGCTTAGCATAAAGACATGAAACACATGAAAACAGCTATGGCTTATATTTTTATGTTGAGTCCATAGAAAATGCATTTAAAGAACGTATTTTAAACACCACATTGAACTTTTACAAGGTGTATGTATTCTGACATGCATTAATCCTTCTTTTGGGTCTAGTTTCAATGTATTCCTGTCATTAATATCATCCAGCTTTTTAATACAAATATATTGTATTTCTCTACTGAAAACAGTTGCTAGCATCCGAAAAATTATCTCCCCAAATTGTGTTTTCTGTAAAGATCAAACATGTTTATTTGTATGAGCTTTAATGCTAGTAATGCTAACCAGACTTTGTGAGCGCTTCAATTCTTTCCTCCAGTTATTTGATAGTCTTTCTTCCTGCCGCTTTCTCGTGTGTCACTTGATTATTTATGGACTCTTGAAACCACAAACCTAATAAGACAATGAACACCACTTTTATATTTTCTGTTCACCTCCTTACGTGATTCGTTTGCAGTATCAACATTAATTCGGCTGACTTTTATATTTTTGATCCAATTGGTAAATAGGCTATATTTACACCAAACACGGTGCACAGCTGAGACATTTTTGCAGGCACGAAACATACTACCAATAGAAATACATTGCTTTTTAAAAAAAGGGGGAAATCGTGTTGGTGAACACGAATCAATAGATTAAATGTCGTGACTATAACACGAAATGCAGTGAGACTGGGTTGCCTGGAAAGCAGTGGCATTTTCCCACACTTCTCTTGCCTTTGAACTTCTTACCGTAACACCACACCATGTTCATTATGGTGCGCATGACCTTTAACCCCCCAGGACTGCCTCTGTGACATTAATGGTGAAGCAGTGATTAAATGCTGACCCTGTATCAGTTTACGCCGTTTTTTTCTGTCTTATATAGCCTACCACTGGCAACAAGATGACTAACCTGGCTGAATCACAAGCACAAAATCCTCTAGGGGATTCAAAAATGTCAATTAAAGGGGATTTGACATTTTAACACTGTGGTACAACTCATATATTCACGGGAGGTTGTTAATTCACTTTTCAAAAGGATTTATTTATAGGGCAACTTAGAATAGACTCTGTAGATGCCTACAAGCGGTTCTGTCTTCCAGCTGTGTTATATAAAATAAAATAAATTCAGCATCTAGGATACCTAGATACCTTGTTTTCCAGCATGACTGCTTTATAGTGATGCACTCGGTACAGACAGATAAACAGGTGGCTTTAATATTTTGCTTGGAATCATGTTTGATTTTAAGTCTGATCATGTGCTGAGTAAATATTGTACAAACACAGAGCTTAGGGACAGAAAGCCCTGAAGCTACAGTACCAAAGCACCCCCTAGTGACAGGTGTGGGATTTTATGCAATATTACCAAACATATTAATTTCACGTATGTAAACACTTTATTCCTCGCAAAATAATTTAAAATTAAATTAGCATTTTAAATAAAGATTTTGACATAAATTACACTATTCTGACAGAAAAATTCCAATGTGATTCAATTCTTTATCTTCAACCTCAACAATAAATAAAATATATTATATTTCACTTTTGTCAAGAGTTTTGAGGCTCTGTGTGGTTCTTGGTGGACGCCGAGCCATTCTGCTGTTGATCCACCATGAGCAGGATGCTGTCTGACAGTTCTCTAATGTCGCTGTGTGTGTCGGGATGTGCAGCCAAAGCCCGCAGAAGTTCAGTCACACCCTCCTTCTCCATCATGCTCCTGTAATGTGAAGCTAGAGGATAGAGAGAAGACGTTAGCATAACATGTGAGAGGATTGGCAGATTGAGCACGCTTACACTCAAATATTAATACTCCGGAGAAGTCTGCATTCATCTATTGAATATTACATATGGTGCACATGTGTGGTATATTTAAATGATGAAATACAGTAAAGGGCAGCCACTATTTTAAACATTGTTTCATCTATAGATTATTTTCTAGTTTACAAGTAAAAAAATTCCACGACCAAGTTTCTCAAAGGTGATGTCTTATTATCATTGCAGCTCCAGTACTGTAACACATTATGTATGACACATGTATCTAAATATGCTGACCCCTATGAATCCACCCCTGTGAATCCCAGTTGTTAATCTCCCCCTAAATACCCCCTCAGAAGGGTGTTTGTGTGTCTTACTATTCTGACCGCAGACCAGATGTATGGCCCACACTGCCCACAGCTGCACCCCCGAGGGCTGCCAAGTCTGAAGCAGAGGGCAAAATGGACGGAACGACCTGAAATGTGGAAACAAGGAGACAAAGCACAGGGATAAAACCTTTTTTCTTTGTTTTGTTTTATGCTTTAATAACTGGAATGTTTATTTTCTTTGGCATCGATGGAAAGAGGGAATGTAAACTGAGGTGTCAGTCATAGAAATGTATTGTTAATAGATTTTAAAAGGCACTCTTGTGATGGTCTGTGTGGATTCCCTTCTAAAAAACCACTAAATCAGCAACCAAATGGAATGGCAGAGTGTGGAGAGAATGTAGGATGTCTTATTGATAGGAAACGACAACAAAAAGTGTTATGCAACATGTAGGTTGATGTTAAATAGAATAGACAGAATGAGGAGATTTAATAAAGGGAACTCCCTCCCCCTTGAAATCAGGACTGCTGACTGAAAAGCACTCAAAACACAGTCAGTTAGCTCTCTCCTCTTCCTTTTGTATTGATCAACCTTTGTTTATTTCGTTTTTTTATCTTCTTATTTTCACCCTGTTGTTCGACCGTTTTCTTTGTTTCCCCCCCACGGCCCCTCGTTCTATTGTAAAGCGTCCTTTGGTTTCTTGAAAGGCGCTATATAAATTGAAGTTATTATTATTATTTCACATTTGTATGTAGTGTCTCTACTGGGACATGTCTCCATGCTTTAATGTTGAAAAAGCTCTTTATTTTTCTCATACTGCCTGTGCTGCAGAACCTCTTTTCACCCTCTGTCTGAAACCAGAGCCCAGTCTGCTCTGATTGGCTAGCTGACGCATCCTTTAAAAACTCCACTTTTACAAAGCTTCTGTTTCGTTACCTGTAAGAGACCATTTCCCTCTCCAGTTGGTTCCATGTCATTATCGATTCATGCTGGAACAAAAGAAAATACACTTTTAAACAAGAGCCAAAGGGGAAATGTAGACTAGCACCTATAACGCTCCTCTCTCACACACACCAGCTGCTTCACGGTGTTGCTGTGGAGCTCGTCGCCCAGGGTCCAGGCCTCAGGTCTGGAGGCGAGCTGTGCCAGAGTCCCCCCCCGCAAAGTAACGGACCCCCACCTCCACCTCAGAGTCCTGCAGCAGGCTGAGGATGTGCTCCAGCAGGCCCTCCTCCATCAGGTCCCCCTGTAACCCCTCCACCTCGGCTATGTTGTTCTGCAACAGAGAGAGACAAACCATGACGGCAATTATAATATGTCAGATTGCCAACACATGGAGTTCATTTTAATCATATTTCTCAAATGATTTAAACATTTCTGAGCAATATGTAAATATTTGAAAGAACTCTGAAATTCAGCTGCTGCCTGATTATTACATCCTGAATGTGGGAACGATTGCAAAAAGCTGTAAACAACTTTTGGTTTATAACATGGAACATTTCTGCACTAAAAACAGAGATTCATGTTATACATTTTGTTGAGTTTTGTACTTACAATCATCCTAAAGGATGCAATACCACCACAAGATGTTGCACACACACACACACACACACACACACACACACACACACACACACACACACACACACACACACACACACCACACACACACACACACACACACACACACACACACACACACACACACACACACACACACACACACACACACACACACACACACACACACACCACACACACACACACTCTCACCAGAAGGCCAAGAACTTTCTGCTGAATGGAGGGTTCAGTGTAGTAAGTCTGGAACACAAAAAAAGGACAGCATGAAAAGATGTTGTGTGTGTCTGTGTGTAGGTGGGTGGGTGCATTCGAGCATTAACGTGTGTTTCTGGAGCCCTTGTACCTCAAGAACCTCCTCATACAGCCCCAGGCCCTGGCACTCGATAAAATTGCGAGCAGCGGTGGGCATCTCGTCCGTCAGGTTCCACAGAGCGCTGAGGGCGAACTTCAGAGTGGAGTCCACCACTCCCGCCATGGCTTTCTGCTGCACTATAGCCAGCAGCTGCTGTGGGATGGAGGAAATGAGCAGAGAAAACATGAGATGGAATGGAGCGGTAGAAAGAGACATTTAAAAGCTAAAAAGGGGAGAAAACAGAATGCTTTTGTAGAAATGGAGGCAACATCTTGTGGTGGTATTGACCTAAACAACATATCAACAAGTGGACATAAGTTTATAAACTAATCAAGATAAAAAGAGGATTATTAAGGGAACATTTTATTTGTGGTATTTCTCTAAATAAGAAACCATATGTATTATAACTTGGAAAAACACCAAAGTCAAAGAGAAGGTTTTTTTCTATTTCTTTCTTTAGATTTTTTAGATTTATGGATTGTTATTTAGTTATTCGATGTTTTTTTGTTTGAATTGTATCTCATTTCATTATGTATGCCCTGTAACCAACTAATATCTTAAAATGCAAATAAAAAAACAACAACAATATAAGCGAAAAATAAAGTATAGAGAGGCTTGATTACACACACACAAAGAGAATCAGAGTGGCGTAATTGAACAGTGGGGTAACGTCAAACCGTGAGTGCATGGAGCAATGAGGTGACAGTGAGCAAATGAGTACATGGCAGGTCATGGAAAATAGAGCGGGTGAGAAAGACAGAAAGGGGGAGACTAGAAATACACTCGTGCATATCAAGTGCTAAGCTGGGACCTTGTTAAAGTGCGCAAGTGTTAATATACCTTCATAATAAAGACATCCTTGCCGAGTTTAACCGTCTCCTCTGTGGACAACTGTAAATAAAACCAATCAATGAATTGAATTCTATATTTTCCTAAATGTCACAGTAGAACATATTTATCACACAGGGACTAAATGAAAGCTGGATGTTTGAACTATTTCTGCAGAAGTACAGGTGGTGGCTGAGCACAGGGCTCTTAACAGCTGCTATACTATTTCCCTGCAGCACACTAATGCACAGTAAGTGAGCAGTGTCTTGACCTTGGCCACCAGAATGGAGATGACAGCCACCGCCATCCTCTGAAGGGTGGGATCCTGGTGGCTTCGCAGCCAGTTAATCACCAGCGTGGCCGCAAAATACCTGAGCCATGATCACATTGTGGACATAAGGAGTATTACAAACATATGGGCAGACATTTGAGTTCAAGTCTTCATTTTTACATCTGGAGGAACTATTTCTTTTGGCAATTAGATTTCAAGACAAAATATACTTTAGCTGGAAAAACAATACAGTGCCATTCTTTGAGAGCGCTGATTATCTTGCGTAACTGTGGGCTCATGAACTAACTTGTCAAAAGGGATGTCCTGAAGGATGTAGTCACTGCAGAGCGCCAGCAGACAGTTCTTTTGCACCTGGAGGAAGGGAAACCACATGGGTGTAAGAAAATATGAAGGCATTATGAAGTAACTCAATACTGTCTGAAGGTTAAGGAATGGACAATCAATCCAAAATAAACCTCTATGCTGATGATACTATCATTTATATAGATGCTCCCTCCATGGTAAAGGATTTGCATAACTTCACACTGCAATTCAGTTATTACAAAACAACTATGCTAAGTTTAAAATGGGGTTTAAATGCTCAGGAAATTAAAGAGGCCCTGTTGTGCTTCTTGGGGTGTCCCGTTTCCTGTAGTGTGTTTTCCTAGGATAAGGGTTTTGAAGGATCTGGGGAAGGATGTATTGTTCTACGTTGCACCATGGGAATTGAAAATGAAGAGACATATCTAGAATCATATCCATTGATGTATTTAAGAAAATGATAAGGAATGTGTTGATAGAGGCGTATGATTGCTTTTTTGACAGAGGTATGGCTGCTATCAAAAAGGGTTGAAATGAAGGTTATAAAAAATAGGGAGTTGTAACAAAATGCTGCAAATCTAAGGTCACAATATGGTGAAGGGCAGTTACCTGGCAGCAAGAGAGACATACTTGGTACTGTTGTGAAACTACAAAATATGAAAATGGGCCTGTAATATGAAACACTGAGCATGTCCTCTGACCTGTTGGTGGCTGGGGAAGCTCTCCATGGCGATCAGCAGCTGGGGTGACGGTGGAGGTGAGCAGGCAGACAGGCATGGCCTCTGCCAGGTCCTGAGCGGTCAGATTAAAGACGCACGCTGTGGCCACCAGGTGGATGTGCAGGGAGGTGGGCTGGCTCTGCATCCCCTCTAGAACCAGCTACAGGAAACAAGGAGTGCATTACAACTCATGTGCTTCAGAGTCAGATGGAAAGGGCTGAATGTGGGGGGTGAGGCAGGGGGGCTTTTGACGTGTGCTCTTCATCGCCTTTGCAGCTAGAATTTGGGTGTCAGTTTTGTGGACAGTGATGGGACAGCGTGTCTCTCTGACCCTCCCACCTCTTAAAACTCACCCAGACAGCTGTGATGCTGCATTGTTCTATTTTACTAGACACAACCTCCTCTTTGCGAGCACGACTAAAATACAGTAATTACTACGTCAGGTCAGAGGACATCTTGACTTTAGCTGTACAGTTTGTTCCCATTTAGCTGAAAAGAACAGATGGAAAATACTAGCCTCTTTACAAAGGAGAATGAGGTAGAAAGACTTTCAAATTAAAATGTCTGTAAAAAGAAAATGATGCTTTGAAGACATTGTTCCAGCACAATGATATGCATAGTACCTTTAGCATGTCTGGCCGAGGTTTGTCAATGTCAGTGGTTAGATTGTAGAGGTGGAGGAGGGCCTCTCGTATGAAACACTCGCGGTCTCTGTACCTCCGCAGGGCCTCGCACACCTGGTTCTCATTTGCCTCTCCGGTTACCTGAACATACACAGCAGCACATCAGCATTTTAAAGAGAGACAGGAAATGCAGCAGGCATATACAAACAGCCTCAAGTCAAAGGATAATGAGAAACATATGCGAGACTCCAGCTTAAGTGTCTGCCCATAACATGCTCCGACGTCAACTCTATGACCGATGCTAGCACTAGCGCCTTACTTTTAAGTTTCTCTGTGAAGTCAGGATTTCACAGGAGCTAGCCCCGGTGGCTAGCAGGCCCAAGAACACCAGTCCACCTCTGGCCTCCACAAACGCTCTGACTGATGCTTCACTGGTCCTCTTCCGTCCAGAGATATCGAGGGATACAAGTGAAGGAAGGACCTGAGCACTCCCCTCCAGAAGCTGCCGCACCGTCTCCTCCCCGTCTTTCCCGTCACTGTCATCCACTGCAAAGTGGTCCTCTGAAAAGTCTAGATGCCTGAGGGTGTGAAGTTGACTGAGGACAGAGAGACACCTGAGAGGCGATATATCCAGCTGCTGCAGCTTGTGACCGATGAAAGATCTCAGCGTGTTCTTGCAACGGAGGAGTGCAGTAAGCTTCGACACAGCGCTGCAGGAGATGTCCAGGCTCTCCAGCTGAGGGAGAGAGCAGATATCCTCCAGGGCAGCATCAGTCAGGTCTGTGTTGGCCATGTTGAGTGTCCTCAAGCCCTGCAGGGAGCTGAAGCCAACTCCAACCTCCACCAGGGACTCCCAGTCCACATGTAGCCCAGTGAGGCACAACCTCCGCAGGCTTGATCTGCACTCCGGGTTGGAGGCCAGGCCCGAGACGATGTTAGCCCCTGTGAGGCCGCCGGAGGCCCAGGCGGCGTCTAGTTCCTGGAGCCTGTGAGGGCAGAGGGCCAGGCGGAAGGCTTCTGCAGACACCGTACAGCGGCGGATTGATGCTCTGCGCAGGCGGAGCTCTTTGCAGTTTTGGAAAATCCCAACAGTTGTGTCATTCAGTATCCCTTGTAGGAAAAAGTAGCATCAGTTCAGCCTCATTGGTGTTGATGGAATACACTTTTTCCATCATTTCAGCCTGGCATAGTACATTGTAAACTCATAAATCATATGATGATGGGGTGGCTTAAGGATATTGCTATTTTCAAAGTTGTTTGCCTGGAGAATCCAGAGGACATTTCTTTTTTGTTCTTCTTTTCTTTTAACATTAACAACAAACTAACTGACATTTAAAAAAATATATAAATATATTTCTCAATAATTGTATATATTTGATATTGGGATTCTTCTTTTTTGTAATAAAAATATCTCATTATAAACTTTAATAATAGTTCAAAATTACAAATAAATACTTAAAAATATAATTGTTCTCACTCAGTGCTCTGTTTTCTTCAAGTATGCATTATAATTTAAATTGAAAATGAGAAGAAGTCCCGGTTTCCACCGCAACAGACATTAATATAAATGTGTGTTTTGACAGACTTGACATTTACATACATTTCTAAAATCTTAATATAATATCAATAAGACTAAAAAATACGACATCCTCCAACTACTTGAAAAGACAGAAGATGAGTTATTTTGGTCACACAGCGGTCTGTTACATACCTGAAAGGCCGGAATGTGCTTTTCACAGTACATTAGGACTCAAATAAACTGCATGAATGGTGTTGGTAATAAAGTGTCATAGGACAAAAATGTCTCCAACTGAAGACCTAAGTGACATTTTGGTGAAGTAAGATCATTTCACCCTTTTTTACCACTTGTAACAGAACTTCTCTCCTTTCGTAGAAGCAGTTGTTGATATTGATGTTGTCAGATCCTTTTTCTATCCTCCTGACCTACCTTTAGTCGCCATATTGCGCAGTAACTGGTCTGCCATCTCCTGTGGAAACACCGGGGCCAAGCTGAGGCCCAGGGAGCCGTCTGCTCTCCTGCTGCACAGAGCCTCCAGGCTGCTGCACACCTGAGCCAAGCAGAGGTCACACAGGGCCTGGGGGCCGTCAGCATCCTGCAATGGAGCGGCGGGTGATCAGAAACTACTAGGTCATCACAAATCATTACAAAGGTATAGTGCAGTGACAAAATGCAGACAAATTACTGAAAAAACAAACATATTATATATTTTAAAAATATATTTAGGTGAAACCGTAATTTAAAAGTGGAGTTTTTAATACTACATCGTAAAGGGTGTAAAATATATATGTACAAATACTCCGATCAAACTCAAAACCCGATCCTGCCCCTCCCTCTCACTCTCTAAGTGAACGGTGACTATAAAAACTACACTGCGCATGCTCAGAGTATTGTCCTATTTAATGTGTGTGGCAAAAAAATAATGACCATAGGGGCATAGAGCTGCCATCCCCACCATACGTCATCTCACATCATTCAGAGCTGATTGGCTGTAAGTACGTGTGCCGCGAAAAGTGTGGTGTGTGTGAAGAGGAGACCAAAGGAGACGAGAGAGGCGTCCTAAAACCCGGAAGTAAGCTGCGCATGGCTTCCCTCGACAAAAAAGCAATCAGATTTCTCCATAGGATTTTAGAAAATAGCTCAAAATAAGATCTGTGGGAAACGTAGCTGTTAGATAAATGCACGTTTTGTTCAGCCGGATAATATCCACATGTCTACCCTAATTTTATAATTTTCGAATCATAAATCTATCGATTAGATTTATGATAGACTTTTGAAACTACAAGAAGATAAGGAGGACTTTTACAGAAAAGTAATAGAGATTTTTGTCCAGAAGGATAGGCAAATGGACTTCATCTTCAAGTCAAGGTAAGATCGCAATTTTATTGAAAATGGGATCTTACTAAGAGAGAACAATTCAATATTTAAATGATAAAATTACATTTTTTGGGTATCCTTTTGTTGAACTGTCTGTTTAAAATTAATCGAAGCATCAGACAAAAAAAGCTTTTGAAAATAATATTATATTTTGATTTAGGTCAAAATATAATATTTGTAAACCCGAAGTCAGTGCCAGTGCCTCACCAGCCATGAACCTCACTGCAGAAGCTATAGACATCTAAGTTTTTTGTGCCCCACCACTTTTGTAGGCAGGGCCGGCCCTCGGCATAGGCAGTATAGGCGAATGCTAAGGGCGCATCAACCCATAGGGGGCGCCAAAAATTGGGGGGAAAAAAAAAGTTAGAAATAAAAAAAAAATTTTTTATTTCATAACAACAACATTTCCCGATTTTGGATCAACAAAGTACATTTATTATCTTATAGTAACATAACTACGCCTATATTGCGTACAGCGCCCATAAACTATGGCACACACCCCCCCCCCCCCAAATCAAGTTGAACTGCCCCAGCCCCAGTAAAAACCAGAGGTTTATGTGAAATTGTTCTTTTTTTGAAATAATGGTTTTAGTGTGCAATTATAGGTTTTAATTTTGTATTTGTGTTAATTTAAAATAAATCAAACTCCTAAAAAACGTACACAGCTTCTGTGTGCTTTTATTAACATTGGAATTTACTGTGTAAGCGGCCGTGGGGGGAGAGCTTTGGAGAGCTCTCTCCTGAAAGACTGGGCGGCACTGAACCTCAGCTCAGTGAGGTAAAGGCACACCTTGATATGATCATTATAGTTATAAAAAAATAAGAGAATAGGTGAAAAACAGGTATAAAATACTATATGACAGTACAAAAAAGTTGTTATTAATAAACAAGAATACAGTTTGAAAGGTGAGTGATTTGTAAAATATCCATAAAGAAAAAGAAAATCTGCTTACAGTTCTGTTTCATCTGGGTGTTGAGAGATGTATCCATAGATTTCCTGATGTTGCTCTCAAAGTGCACCAGATTGATGCTTTTAACTTCAATATTAAAAAAAAAAAAAGTCTTCCCGGGGGTGCATGCCCCCGGACCCCCCTAGAAGAGGTGAGGTCCCCCCCCCCCCCCCCGCACTTAAATCATGTTCAAATGGATAGGAAACTAAATACAGTTACAGTCTTTCTGTTTTGGTGGTCATGCCACAACCGTGCACTCGCGAGTCATAGTAAGTGTCAGTGTCTGCATTTGGGGGGGGGGGGGGGGGCGCCAGCTAAAACCTTGCCTAGGGCAGCAAATTGGTCAGGGCCGGCCCTGTTTGTAGGCTACATATAAAAACGCCACTGGTTACTGTACATTAAAAACAATTGTGAAGGACATTTTTGCCCTGACAGTTGTCTCTCAGACTTCTTTCTTAGGGGATCAACAGATCCACACTGACACAGGATCTCTAACGCTGTCGGAGTCTAATTTTATCCGCAACACTACACAAGTAAAGCCCATTTAAACCACCTAATCCTGCCGGTCTCTGTAGGGCACAGTGGACAAAAGCAATATGTTCCCACGGGGCGGTATATGGGCTAAAAACGTTTGTCAACGGCACATTCGGTTCACAACAGTAACGTTGTCAACATATAACAGCAGGGGACGGGGTCAAACCCAAACTCACCATGGTTGAGAAGAAAACAGTCGACAGGAAACTTAAAACAATTATTATAATAATTACGGTAACACGACGTTCAGCAACATTTTAAATTAAAGGACGTCTTTATGCACATTTCTTTCAATTCGACGAAAGTTATTAAATCTTCTGTTTTGTTTACAGTCGCTGCTGCTGTCCGCCGAGTACACTACCAACTGTCACAAGTTGACCTGCTCCTATTGGTCAATACGCGTGACGTCACCGGGCTCTTCTTCTTCTTCTACTTCTACTTCTTCTTCTTGAGGGGCTTGTTTCAGGATATGTTAGCGTGTGTTTTCATTCGTGCTAATACAGTTTTAATCAGTATTTACTTGACTCTTAACTGTATGTATATATATATATCTATATATGTGAACATGTACAAAGAAGTTCTTTGTACATGTTCACAGACATTGGTGGAATGTAACTCAGTACATACTCAAGTACTGTACTTAATCTCAGGTAAACTTCTTCATTTGGCCTTTTTACGTATGCTATGCTGACATCATCAACACCATCCTAGAGGCAGCATAGCCTACTTTATACTTATCTGACAGCGTTAGTTACTTATTTATTGTTTAGCTAGCAATTTGTCATACCCTTTCTGTCCTGTGAAAACAATCTATCTCCAGATTTGGTGATATATAATTGTAGTTTCTCAAATAAACAAAAATATTTAGAGTTCCTTTATGAGTTGGGAACCTTGTCCCACTTTTTAAATAAAATAAACTATTGAAAACCCTCTTGGATTAGCTGAAAAATGCATCGTCACTAAGCCAAAAACATGGGCTGTTTTCTGAGAAATTGGACTTTATAAAGTTAATACATGATTCTCTCAAGACAGCAACAATACAAATGATGACTTTAGCTAAAAACACCCGCAGTATAGCAGTAATGTCATTCCAAAAACATCATACATTTGGAAAACACACTGGGACCTTTTTTTCTGTAATAAGTAGGCCTACTTCTACATTTAATACTTAAAACACATTTTTCTCAAGTGATGTTCTGAATGCAGGACTTTTACTTCTGTCTGAATATTTCTTCCTCTCCTCCTGCATAAAGTCAGTATATCTTTCAAAGAGCAAAGCAGTGTACCTGCAATAACTGTGAAGGTGCAGGCGGTAATAGACTTGTTTAGCCACAAGGAGGGGCTCAGAGAGAGAGAGAGTAACTTTATTAGTTTATGTTAGTTGTAGTCAAATGTCAAATTCGATACTAAATAATGAGTCCCTAAATACCAAGATAAATGTTGTCTCATTAGTCAACATTTATGGTACACTAATGAAGTGCAGAAAGACATTACCTTGCGGAAATACATATCAACTGTTACATGTGGGGACTAATATAGCATAGTCCTGTTTACATGGTTAGCATTAGGTTAAAAATAAAAAGAGACTCAGCAAATGTGTCCATAAGTAATGACTGCATTGGTTCCTTACTCTGGAATTCCGATTATTAGGGCTTGTCAAAGTCTCAAGGGGCGCAAGGCCTTCTAGATTTTTAGAGGTGTAGGACTTTTTAAAACATACATTTAGCCTAGATCTCAGCATTTGATGCATGTCTGTGAATATTTTTTTATAATTTGGATTCTTTGGAAAGTTCAGATTATCATTTAAGATATGAACTTTAAAAAACAGCTAAATAAACATCAGGAAAAGTGCCATGGAGAAGGAAAAAAAGAAAATACAGACTAAAAATAGCTCTTTTGTAAGTTCTATTCTTACTGTGCATGGAATATTCTATGATGTGAAATATCGACTGCGTCACTAGGTCAGTTGTTGTCAATTAACTCAATGATGGGAAAGGAGTCCCATGAGAAAAAAGGTTGGGAACACCGGCTCTAGACTACACAATAGTCAGGCTTGTTAAATGGGTTGCAGATAAAGATTTCCAGGCATGGATCGAATTAGCCCAAAATGTATTTTTCAGCTTCCCTCAGTAACAGCTTCCTCCGAACACATGTTCTTCTACATATCATTTATTTAAATTATGCGACCTCTATATACACCCGACCACCATGGAGACACACACTTCCAATCACGCATACAAACACATGTTCTCATACATGCACCATGCACAGGCAATAACACTTCTTCTACATTATGGATGTCCTCATAAGCAAATCTGTCCTCCCACATGCTGAAGTATCTCCCCACGCAGAGAATCCCCATGCATCAAAGCCTGAGCTTCCTCCTCAATCCAAAACATTTAGCTGAAGGGCGTTCTTTTTTTGTCTGCATATTGTCCTCGTAACCAAATAAACACAGCTGCCAAAAAGCCCTCGCATTGCCACAGGAGACACCCCATATACGGAGCAAACACAAGAGCAAATCACATGCAAATTGAATATGCTTAAACTACTGGATTGCCAGAATCAGTCAGTCATTAGATTAGAGCTGATGGGAAACAGCTTTGCGAGTAAGTAGACTTGATAAATTGTAGTTGAACAAGGCTGTGTGTGGAAGAGAGAAATGTACGTGTATTTCATCAGCTCATCAGACAGATAGGGTGCCTGGGAGACAGTGTTACATTGTAAACAGGACCGTATGACATGATGACAGCTAGACTGATTTGAAATGTCTTCACCACTCTTGCTGATTCACAGCCAATCCGGTTCGGTTATTTATTTGTGGTGAAACTTTATATTAGGAGGAGTTATTTTTTTCTTTCCGAACTTCAGAGGAAGAAGGCAGGCCAAGCCTTCCCTCTGCTCCAACTACAGAGAAAGTCACACCATCAGCCTCCCTCTTTCTGTGCACGGACCACCCTCCACTGTTCTCCTAGTGGACGGTGTTTGCCCATACCGTAGCAGGCCTTCATTCTAAATGAGAGCAAAGACAGACAGAGAGTGAGAGGAGGAGAATGGAGAACATGAACCTGCGTATGAATCAAAACTGAGACACCAAGGCTGGGTATAATACCTGCAATTTCTGGACTGAACTCATTGACACAGGTAAGAATCTTTTTTTTCTGTGATCAGGCTACTTAGGAAATTAACTTTTGTATATTTTTTAAGCTTTGGAAAACTTTTCACACTGTTAAATCTGCATATTTCCACGTGATCACTATAAAAACCTCTCAATGTAATCATTTCAGCAAAGTTAATACAGGAAAAACTGGTTTGAGTTTAAATTAAAGTTCTAGACATCCATTAATCTGTGGAGTAATGGTACATTGCTGAAGTTAAAGTATCCATTTAAGCTATTTTAAGTAACTTATATTTGTTTTTTAAATTCTGTATACATCTGGTGTTTGTTAACCATCATTGTTGGTGCATCATGTCTCTTAGCAGACGGACCCAATCAGTGGCACCATCAGAATAAGTTGTGGGTTAATTGGCACAGTTCATAGAATCCGCTGGCCAGAAGCAAAAGCCACAACAAAGTTAGACTGGAAAATGTGGGGCTTTTTGATGTATGGTTAAATAAAGTTGAAGGGAAATTGGGGGGTGGGGAGTAGGCCTACATGTTGTGTTCCAAGGGATTGTGAAGGGTTTTAGCGTGAGATAAATCTTTTAATTGGGGGGCTTAGCGGTAGGCAGTGAGAGCTCAGTGGTACCACTTAGAGTGAGTGGGCCGATTGGCAGTGTCTCCGTGTTCCTCTGGGCTGGGGAAAAAAAACAGCCGCCGCAAAGTTTGACCTGCTTGATTGAAAGGACTGCTTTAATACAGATGAGGTAGCTGGGTTTTGGTCAGGTCTGGCTCAGAGCGACGAGTAAGATGAATATACTCCTTTTTAATAAGTAAACAAAAAAAAACACGTCTGCTGCTGCGGTCGACTTGATGAAGACCAGCAGGGTGTGAACGACATGAGGGCAACCTGGTGGTAAAAACTGCCGAAGAGATCCCTGGCTGAGGAGCCTTTGTGTAAACACTGTCACTGCTGTGAGATTCATATTGTGGGGATGGAGACGTGCAGACGGGCCAATTGCTGAGGCCGAGCTATTGAAGGGGGGTGACCTGTGATTACGGAAAGGCAGGAAAAAGTACTCTCCGGGTAATATTAACGGACTGACAGTGCCAAGGTGTTTTTGAGCTCTGACACATGGCCAGTTTTTCCTAAAGTGCCTTTTCCTTTCCTCTCAGATGGTTTATAATCCAAGACTAAACAATCTGCAGCTTCTTCCATATGTTAAACTGGCATTTTATTATGCTGCTGAACTTTTAAGCTTTAAAAAAGGTATGCTAGCTCAGACTTTTTTTCAGTGGATAAGTCACTGTACTAAAAACTATTTGTTATTGATTTCCCTCAAGGCATGTTTTTTCTCATGACAATGATTAAGCACGGCAGCCTATGCTCTGGGATCTCTCCCATTAACTGCGGTTAGGACTCTTCAGTGCAAGAAATTTAAAGAGGAGACCGGGGAAATTATTCAAAGTCCCTGCTGTCTCTGTCTTGGACTCATTTAATTCTACTTATTTTGGCATAAATTCCTCTACAGATTAGTTTTGATTAGCTCTGATATGAAGTGCGTCACATTGTGTTCCTGTCTGAGGTGTTGGATGAAGGTTTCTTCACCCCCTCAGCCATATCCACCAGACATATCCTGCCTTCTGGTTGGATTTGGTCCAAAATCACCCTGAAGTTGGCTTCATTTCCAGAGCCATTGAATATGGATGGTGGGATATTTGACTTAGCATGGATTTGCCAACGTCACCCTCCCCTGCTGCATTCGTTGTGCTGTCGAAACCAATAAGATCAAAACAAAAGCTTTCGTTCCAAAAATAGACTCCAGAAAGCATTACTCATAAATCAGGGATTCCTGCTCCTCTTACTGCTCTTTTAACACATTTTCTTCTTTTATTCCTCACCCAATTTTAAGATTTTGTTTGTACCAACCAAGAAGAAATTAAAGAGAGCATGTGAATCATAATTTTAACCATCACTAGCATTTTGCTATTTACCGATATACCTCATAAATCCTGGTAGCGTGTAATCCCTGGCCATATTAAGTCAATTTTGTATCAAATATTTCAATTTTCAGTTAAATCTTTGGCCCCATCAAGAGGTTTTTAAAAAATGTTCCACACCAGTCAGCACAGGTACACTATAAGACTAAAGTGGAGGTTTGTTGAAGTTCTGAGCCAGGAAATCTACAGAAATATGAAAAACAGATCCCAGCACTTACCCACACCCAGACACCTGATACAGATGTGGTAAGGGCTGTAATGAAAGAGAACCCATGAGGGAATGTATTGAAAATCTGAGTTACGATAACAGATTTGTGGTGGATGGGTGGCACTGCTCTAACTCGACCACAAGCGTGCCAGAAGGCACATCTTGCTTGGGGCAGAGCAGTTGATATGTTAGCTGTGTCTTTGCCTAAGTCTGCTAGTTTTCACTACACAGTTGCATGCTCATTCGTTTTATAATTAGGCAAGACTCTTGTGTTGAGTCTTGAGTGGAAGCTCTCTTCTGTACCCAGAGGCGCACTGGGACTAAAATCCAGCCCTAGAAACTGACCCAGTCCGGCCACATGAAATGTCGGGGGGGCATCAGAAAAAAAAATACAGCCTGAAGCCTTCCGAGTAAATCGCCAGAACGCCGACACCTCATCATCACTCCACCGCTCCCTAATGCTAATGCTAATTATGCTACTGCAAGCAGATAAAATGGGGGCTTCACAAAACTTTTCAGAGTTTTACGGGGCAAGGTTTGCAATTCGCCCAGCCAATCAGACATAGGAACCTTTTTCTCCCATGAAAGTACCTGCTCTCTAGCAGGGGGTGAAAAGGGGGTGAAAAGGTTCTCATGAACTAAGTTAGTTCCGGATTTTTTTGGTGTGACGCAACATTTCAAGAACTATCGGAACTATACTGGGAAAAGTACTCCGGTATGAAAGCGCCTAATGGCAATGTTAACAGTACCACAGTGACGCATCCTAAAACCCGGAAGTAAACTTCTTCCGGTTCCTTCTACAAAATCCAATGCAATTTCTCCATAGAATTTTGGAAAATAGCTCGAAATAAGGTCTGTGGTTGACACAAATTGAAGAGACGGATCACGTTTTGTCTACCCTACTTTTATAATTTTATAATAATTTTCTAATCATAAATCTAATCGATAGATTCATGATCGATAGATTTATGATTAGAAAATTATAAAAGTAGGGTTGACATGTGGCTATTATCCAGCTGAACAAAACGTGATCTGTCTCTTCAATTTGTGTCAACCATAGACCTTATTTCAAGTTATTTTGCAAAATCCTATGGAGAAATTGCATTGGTTTTTGTCGAAGGAACCGGAAGTGGTAAAATGCTAACTTACCTCCGGGTTTTAGGACGCGTCATTGTGGCACTCTATTGCTTAATAAGTTGGCTAAAAGATAACATAGTTATGCTAACCTGTTCACAATGGTAATGTTAACATGTGTAATGCTAAATAAGTAAGCTAAACGCTTACATCAGTTTGCTTACATGTTCACACATGCTGAGGACAATAAACTTAAAATGATCTACATGGTCATTGTGGGCAGTTTTTTTCTTTTAAACCAATGTATTTGACATATTTTGACCCGATGATCATGCAGGATGAACATTATTAACATTCATTAAGGGCGATATGGGTGTACCAACTTTCATGTAAAATGGTCCAAACTTTTTTTTTTGTTATAGATCTTAAGCTACTTGGTGGTAAAGAGAGAAGGAACCATGGGGTCTGGATCATGGAGCGTATTTATTCTGGTTGGTCTGTCGTTTTGCGGCAGCAGCCAAGCCCTCACAAAGAGCCCCATCCTGTCCCGGATACGAAGGGCTCCAGAGGCCAATGGGGAAAGCAAGAAGTGCTCCTACACCTTCCTGGTTCCTGAGCAGAAGATCACAGGACCCATATGTGCCGCCCGCGGTTACTCTACCGACAAGGATCGAGTGACACGCCTGGATGTGGCTGGAGTGCGGGACGTCCTGTCGAAGCAGCGTAGGGAGACGGAAACTTTGAAGCTGGTGGTGGATGTGGACGGCAACTTGGTGAATGAAATGAAGCTGTTGAGGAAAGAGAGCAGGAACATGAACTCCAGAGTGACCCAGCTGTACATGCAGCTGCTTCACGAGATCATCAGGAAGAGGGACAACTCGCTGGAGCTGGCGCAGCTGGAGACTCGCATCCTCAATGCCACCTCAGAGTCACTGCGCCTGGCATCCCGGTACAAAGAGCTGGAGTCCAAATACGCAGCCCTGTCTGCTGTAGTGAACAACCAGTCAGTGCTGATTGGGGCACTTGAGGAGCAATGCATGCAGGTGTACAGCCGCAGGCATGACCAGACACCCTTGGGACCTCCACTTGTGCAGGTGGTACCTGAGAACATTCCTGTTAGTGTGCCACGTTTCACCAATGAGATCCAGAGGGACAACAACCGAGGCTTTGCCCGAGAAAGGGGCTCTCGCTCTGGGCCGTCACCCACGGGCGGCACCCTGGAAGTTCAGAAACCTCCACCTAGAAACTTCAGTGCTGAAGGTAAGTGAGAGAAGAATCCACCAATCCATCCATTACATTTCAATAATGTATTAATTGTTTCAAACGTGAAAATGTAATGCAAGTCATGGTTAAATGTAAAGCAGTCATGACTTTGGAGGCCAGCCGTGACAAAATATGAATCCCTAAGTTTGAAAACAGCTGCAGGTGGGCCAGTGGTCTAATTTTTTCAAAGGCCAAAGATTTGCACATTCAGCTGGAACTCTGCTGCCGGCTCAACAGAAAGAACACAAACCAGGATGGAAATAAAAATGTTGTAACGTCTCAACTGAGGCAGGGGACTTAAAGCAAAGCAAAGAAAGACCTAACCAGTGCGATGTTGCTCATCAACAGTAAATTCCTGACACATTTAGATTGCCCTCGCCCAAGAATAATAAAGTGTGTAGGATTTCACTACAGCTGTGTACGAAAACGATCCCTTACAAGACTGTTCCATTGCATGTGAGATGTAGACAAAACCCAGGCTGGTGTATAGACCCCTCAAAAACCACAAAGTAGAGGCACTTCTGCTATACTTTATGGGATGAATGGACTAAACCTTTACATTATTATTTTACCATTAGCCTGGAGAGGGTTGCTCTCCCTTTACATAAACTCATTGCTTCATAGGCTATTAGTAAACATGCTATGCTAATGGGAATGTTGAATTACTTTGGAAAAATGCAGTTAATCGCAGTGGTTTTACAAAGTATCTATTAAGTTTTTCCTTTTTTGTTTTCATACCATAAATGGGGTCATATCTTATAAAGTCATTTTATTTGCCTGACTCCCTACCGCTGTTCCTTAAGGACATGGTAAACATCTTTGCTGGATAAATGTGTTTTTTATTACTCTTTGTTTGTTTGATTTTATTCTTGTTTACCAGATTCCCTAAAAGTTCAACCCTCTGTCAGACTTCAATTTAAATGTCTCTTAATCATGTTCTGAAACAACAGAGTAAAATTGTCATACAAACCCAAACTGAGTTTCAACCTGAATCAGACTCTTTGATACATGTTTTAATATTTATATTGCGTTTAACCCTAAACCCTAAAACTCACTTCTCCTGCCTAGCCAATCAAAAGCAGAGTATTTGCATGCATGCTTTTGCCCTAAGAAGAAAAATAAAGTCTGTAAGGTCAAATGACGTCTTCTGCATAATAATTAGCCATCTGTTCTTGTGTGTTTTTTTTAGAACTGGCCACTTATTTGAAGGAAAACAGACTGTCAGAACCAGGGCCGGCCCTCGGCATAGGCAGTATAGGCGAATACTAAGGGCGCATCAACCCATAGGGGGCGCCTAAAATTGGGGAGAAAAAAAGAAAAAAAAAGTTAGAAATAAAAAAAAAATTATTTTGTATTTCATAACAACACCATTTCCCAATTTTGGATCAACAAAGTACATCTTATTATCTTATAGTAACAGAACTACGCCTATATTGCGTACAGCGCCCATAAACTACCCCCCCACCAAATCAAGTTGAACTGCCCCAGTAAAAACCATAGGTTTATGTGAAATTGTTCTTTTTTTTAAATAATGGTTTTAGTGTGCAATTATAGGTTTTAATTTTGTATTTGTGTTAATTTAAAAATAAATCTAACTCCCAAAATACGTACACAGCTTCTGTGTGCTTTTATTAACATTGGCATTTACTGTGTAAGCGGCCGCGGGGGGAGAGCTTTAGAGAGCTCTCTCCTGAAAGACTGAGCGGCTCTGATAACCTCAGCTCAGTGAGGTTAAGGCACACCTTTATATGATCATTATAGTTATAAAAAAATAAGAGAATAGGTGAAAAACAGGTATAAAATACTATATGACAGTACAAAAAAGTTGTTATTAATAAACAAGAATACAGTTTGAAAGGGGAGTGATTTGTAAAATATCCATAAAGAAAAAGAAAATCTGCTTAGAGTTCTGTTTCATCTGGGTGTTGAGAGATGTATCCATAGATTTCCTAATGTTGCTCTCAAAGTGCACCAGATTGATGCTTTTAACTTAAATATTAAAAAAAAAAGTCTTCCCGGGGGTGCATGCCCCCGGACCCCCCTAGAGCAGGTGAGGTCCCCCCCCCCCCCCCCCCCCCCCACTTAAATCATGTTCAAATGGATAGGAAACTAGATACAGTTACAGTCTTTCTGTTTTGGTGGTCATGCCACAACCGTGCACGCGCGAGTCATAGTAAGTGTAAGTGTCTGCATTTGGGGGGTGGGGGGGGGGGGGCGCCAGCTAAAATCTTGCCTAGGGCAGCAAATTGGTCAGGGCCGGCCCTGGTCAGAACAATGGGCCTTTTCCAATTGCATATTTTTTCTGACTTCTGAGGTTTCAAAATAATAGTCTTTCAGAAAAATAAAATGGGCATTGAAAAATCTCCTTTGAAACTTTCACAACAAACTGAGTTTTGCCACATGAACGTAGCTACATGTAATCAAAATGGGAAAAAAATGAAACCAGATATAGTCCTGCTAAAAGCTAAATAGCCACGGCTAGATGCCCACCTCTGTCTTTTGTCCTTTCTTTCCTTCAGGTCCTTTCAGAGACTGTCTCGACGCGCAGGAAGCTGGCCACAGCACCAGCGGCATGTACCTGATCAGACCAGACGAAGCAGAAAGGCCAGTGCAGGCTTGGTGTGAACAGGACATCGACAACGGCGGCTGGACCGTTATCCAGAGCAGGCGAGACGGCTCCATTAACTTCTTCAGGAACTGGGATAGCTACAAGGTGTTGACATATGACACTTCCCCCACCCTGTCTGTCTTATTTTTCTGTCTTCTCTCCTGAGCCAACTTCAATATTTGGGTCATCTAAAGACAACATGGGGGCTGTTACAGTATATGACCCATGTAGCGGAACCATCTGGGGTCTGGACTATTTCCTAGGCCAGATTCCTTGTGTTTTCACTAACTGTAAAATATAACGCCCCGTCAGCAGCAGTATTCGTGAAGGGTTATCTGGTTTGAGATTCCCATTATGAAACATTAGATGGCCCAATAGGAAGGTATGTTCCGTAGCTCAAACTGCAGAGGTTTCTTTCCAAACCGCTACTACTATGGAGCCTTCCTGGATGAATAGCTGGTTGGCTTGCGCAACATATAGACCCTCTCATCAAAGCTATGTGAGAATAAGATGGAGTATATCGTGGCTGGCAGCCTCAGCGATCCAGTGTTCCGTTCAACCTCGCCAGGCTCGTGCATGTGTAACTGGAAGCTAAATTGCTCTCTAAAAAATCTCTTGATTTGCCTCTGTGCTCTTTCAAAAAGCCACCACAAGTACACACACACAGCACCAGAGAGGAGGCCCTGGACTGAAACCCTACATCGTTCATCATCTGTTGGCTCACCAAGCTAATCCCCAATCCCAAACCTCAACCTCCTCTACCAAGTGAAGTGTTCTTCAGGCACATGGCCAGATGTACATTGCTCGCTGTTATTCAACATACGCGCCAAGGCCATTTTCACCAGCAGCCGTGATCTAAGAGCTCTGTTGGGTTTAAGTGATGAACCAGCATTTCGAGGATGGATGCTTATTTTGCTGCCTACACTCTACAACATGTCTTTTTAATCATTTCAAAGAAAGGGTGGTAATCTTTTGCAACAGCTTTTTCCTTTTGAAGCTTTGTAGTTTGTCTTAACTACAGAACCACAACCCGAATGTGATCAAAAAGAAAACTCTTGTTTGTTCTGTTACAATCCCACAGCCTTATTCACAAGGGGGTTTTATCTTCCCAAACAATTCTCATGTTTCTAAACTCCTCAGGCTACCACATGAAAAACAATGCTCGTTATTTCCTGTGATCTTTCTCTAACACTCCTTTTAATTTTCCTTTGATTCAGAGCGGCTTTGGCAATATAGACGGGGAATACTGGCTCGGCCTGGAGGGCATCTACAACCTGGGGAGGCAGGGGGACTACAAGCTGCTTGTGGAGCTGGAGGACTGGATGGACAAGAAGGTGTACGCTCAGTACAGCAGCTTCCATCTAGAGCCTGAGAGCGAGGGATACCGTCTGCGACTGGGCACCTACCAGGGCAACGCCGGGGACTCCATGAGCAGCGACAACGGCAAACAGTTCACTACTCTGGATCGAGACAAGGACGCCTACTCAGGTAGATGAACTTTAAAATGCATTATGATTATTTATTGAAATTGTGCCTAGTTTTCACATCTAATCTAGCAAACATTATTTATTGGTCAAAAGTAAAACACCTTCAAAGTCTCTTAATAAATACCCTTACACATTCTTGAAATCCAGATTTCTCTAACAGGGTCATCGTAGATCAAAGACCAATGAAATATGGCATCAGTCCCACGAATCCCATAATGCTTTATGATGCAATTAATATGCATTCCCAAATGAAAATTGAAAGTGATTATGACCGGGCAAATTGCACAAAATCATATCTTCCACTTCTTTGTCCATCATTTTGAGCATGTAAGCAGCTAAAGAGTAGCCTTCGCTAGCAAACACTGAAAACCAGCAAACGTTACATGCTAACATCTACGATTCTACAAGTTAGAAGCTCCAGAGATCTGGTCCCTCTATCTTGAAAAGGCAAAATAGAAACCAACGATTTTCTAAAAAAACTGTAAATATGTAGATGTTTTATAAAAGAACACTGTCATTAACCTTCCTGTTTCCCTACTACAGGTAACTGTGCCCATTTCCATAAAGGAGGCTGGTGGTACAACGCTTGCGGTCAAGCCAACCTGAACGGTGTCTGGTACACCGGAGGCGTTTACCGCAGCAAATTCCAAGATGGGATTTTCTGGGCCGACTATGGTGGAGGCTTCTACTCTATGAAGGCTGTCCGTATGCTGATCAGGCCCATAGACTGAGGAGATATTTGAAGCAAGGCTGAACCAGTGGCAACTGTGGAGGCCAGGGAGAAACATTGTGACTGGATAAGTCATCAGCAACTGGTTCATCCTAGATAAAAGAACTTCCCCAACCAATGGAGACAACCAATCATCAGTAGTGACTTGAACTGCCTTCTGTAACAGACATGGACTGTTCACTTTATATGGTAATAGATGCACAAAAAGAGGGATTTAGGGGGCATTCCTATTTATAGTAAGCCATAATGCTACTTTTATCAATAAATATGTTGGTGCAGGCAAATTAAGTATAATTTCAGAAGATGTTCTGAAATTAACATCTTCTGAATGTTATTGCATATATTATTCCAAATAATGCAATCTGTCTTATCTGTTTATGAGACTGCAGTGTTTTCCTCATTACTGGGTCACCCCGTGGAGACGAGGTGCCACATCCTTACAGAACCTTCATATTGTTTTCATTCATAAGTTTTAGCCTCACAGGATCTAAAAGCAGCTTTTCCTACCTTGTCAAGATAAACATGTGGAGGGAACACTCATACATGGTATATAAGTTGTGCTATAGTTGCTGGGAGCTGGAAAATACATCTTGTTAATACAGATATTTATACTCTGTATCCACTTCCAAATCTAAAAAAGGCCAGCGCCTTAAATAGATTGAGAAGGAATGTGGTTTAAATACATCTTTTTATATACACCTGATTACAAAAACAGCCTGGTTTAATTTTTTTCTCCCTACACTTAAAACAACATTAATACTCTATGTTAAACTACTTTGTCCAAGTGCAGATGACCAGAAATTATAATTTATGTGTACAATTAACTTATCATAACAGGGAAAAGGGCCAGGTGTCCTGAGGGAACAGTAAATGATCATATAGAGAAAATAAGAAATGTCCTCCTAACTGTATAAATGACAATCATTCCTAAAGTGAGCTTGCACGTATGGAAATTGCTGTTATGTGTTTTTCTCATTTGGCTGTTGATGTAATTTCAGTATGATTCTGGGGAAAATGATCATTGTTGATGAAAAAAATGGAATAGCGTTTTGTTGATGAGTTGTTTTTGAGCATGAAAAATATGCCAACCAAGCGTGTTGAAAGTTAGGCAATGGGACAGACAACGAGAAACACATTGCTGAAAACCAGACACGATGAAAAAAGAAAAAGAGAGCAGGGAGGGGATGAACTGGGATGGAATCAGTCCAAATTTCCGAGTTATATTCCCCCACTCTTCCTTATAAATACAGAGACATTTACATTCTTTCCACACAAAAGTGCTTGAGTTGTATGTTTTCGTAAAATATCTTTTAAAGTCAGTGGGCCTGCACTCTGTAATCGCCGGTATGGAAGGAAAGCGGCATCCTTTTAGGGGAGCCATCCCAGAGGAGAGGGGAGCTGGGGGTTTATTTTCCTTTTTTTGAACAGTTGGGTCTGCTTTGAACAACGGAGCTGCATTGCCTTTGGTGTCTCAGACAAAAATAGAAACCTCATATTGTGATTGTTTCTTCTTAGTGACCACAATAGCTCTCACACCCATCTCTTCAACACACTTTTATAAAGCAACAAAACACAAAGAAACGAGACCGGTCACAGCCAGCTGGACATGGAAACATGTAAAAAAACGATGTTGAATAAAAAAGGCTTTATAATGTTAAAATGTATAGCAATAAAAGCTGAAACCAATGAGTCACTATATGACTCACCTTAACAATATAACAATAACAGTTGTAGCATAGAACTTTAGCGTCACTTGAAGGGACATTCTTCCTCATTTGGATTGAGAAGAACTCTTCTCATGTGACATGCTGATTCATACTGTTAACCAAGTTGTACTTAGCTCTTGATTTGGTAATTTGTAATCTTTGTTCAGATTTCCTGCCCATTTCAAACTTATCTTGTGAGAGTCATGCAGATAACTGTAAGGGAAACTTCTGCAGCAATGGAGAGTGAGGACTCATAGAGACACGAGGAGAGTTGGAGCTTTGATGTCAAACACTGGTGTTTATTACAAGTATCGGCCAGAGAATTTCACATCACAAGTCACAGCAGCTAGAGGTTCTGACTGCACGGGTGCGTTGCCACATCAATTCTGCCCAGCCTCTCTCTCGATAGACCTTTTAACTAGTTTACAGAGAGTTAATCAACAGCTGGGCACACTGGAGATATCCCCAACATCTGGAGACACTGAATCACTTGCCTGACTCTTAGGCTCTGTGACCAAGAGTTGACCGGTCATAAAACTGAGAATGAGTGCAGCAGCACATTCTTTAAAGGAGATAACAGAGTCAGGGTTGGTTATTAACGTCAACAGACAATAAGGTTAAATATCTTAGGAGTAAGGAAGAATTATTCTCTGACAATAACATTTTGTTTTTTTAGCAGATTCAAACTGAAGCTGTGCAGACAACACAGTCTCACGGCATTTCGTGTTATAGTCACGAAATTAATCTATTGATTCGTGTTCACCAACACGATTTCGCCATTTTTCTCGTGTCACACAGAATGATTTTAAAAGCAATGTAAATAATAACAAATTAGAAGGAAAAAAAGATGACTTATTGATTTCAGTATTCTGAGGCCCCATTTATTTTCCTCGCGGACGGCAAAAAAACTCAGACATTATACAATTTAAAATAAAAGGGATAGGGTTAGGCTTAGGGTAAGATATTGAGTAAGAAAATGTTTTTATGAGCCACACAGCTTCTGGTATTCCAAGACCCAACCGGACAAAAAGATGTGGTGCAGGCACGAAACATACTACCAATAGAAATACATTGCTTTTAAAATCGTTCTGTGTGACACGAAAAAAAATGCGAAAATGGTGTTGGTGAACACAAATCAATAGATTAAATTCATTTTGTGACTATAACACAAAATGCCGTTAGACTGGGTTGGTACAGAAGGGAAATGTATTGCATGTCTGGATCAATTTAATTCTGGCCCTCAACCTGAACTACAAAACTCTTTTTCCAGGTGTATTTTTCTTGGTCCACCAATCAAAGCACAATGTCATCAGATCAGTCAAAACGTTTAAAAAAGTTGTCTCAAGACTCAGACTTGAATAGATTAATATAGAGCCAGCAGGTGGTTAGCCAACGTTAGCATAAAGACTGCAGCAGACAAAGCTAGCTTGGCTCTGTCCTAAGTTTAAAAACTCCCTACTAAACATTTTATATCTTGCATGTTTTATTCATACAGAAAATACAAAAAAACTACAAGTTGTGGTTTTACAAGTGGTTAAGTGCTGAAACTTCAGACCTATGTTACTGTGCCCAGTCGCTATGCGCCAGGAAAAACAGCAACACATAAAATCTCGGAAACCACAACTCGTGATTCAACAAGATAAAGTGTTAATTAGTGACCTTGATATGTACTGGCTGGTATTTCTTTACTTGAGTAGATTCAGTATAGCTCTTTCCCCGTGTTTTCGTTTTCTTGATGCTAACACAAGCTAACGGCCTGGGCCTAGCTTCACATTTAGCGTAGCCAACACACAAGACTGGAAGGCCTACTGGTATTTTCTTCTCCCTCTGGTAAAAAAGGAAAACAAACACATTGTCAAATTATGAATTTAAGAATAAATCAGATCAAGTAAGACAACAATTATCCCTAACAGGCCACAAACACAGCTGAAAATGTCAAGTGCAGGCTCAAACTCTGTCTTCAACAATCTGAGCCCATGCCAAAGAGTTTTATTGAACAGTTAGCGTACTTGTTCTTTAACTCCAACACCTTCCTGTCCCAACACTGCCTTTCAGACGTTGAGACTATATCCAACCAAGAGACTTACTGTGGGATGCTCCATCACCACAGGAGCTGTAACTGAAGTCTTCCAATAACTCTGCCCAACAAACACTGAGCTCTTACATTTTAAATAGCCGCTTGGGGGTATGGAAATGCATGATTATCCCACAAAAACCAAACCACTGGGAATTCAGACGTTGGTACAGGGAAGGTGACATCCCTGGCTCTGGTAAGGGGGACCACACTCAGGCCTGTATACCACAAATACTGGGCTAACAGACTGGGGATGGCCGAGTGTTCGTGCAGTGTGGTCCTCGGAGAACCGCTGCATGTTTCAGAGGTGAAAGCCCTCTTTGTCACTGAGTGAAGCATCGCTGTCTATGAGTTCCACCACCGAGATGGCACCAGGATCGGAAGATTTGTGGAAGAAGCTGGCTCTGCCGCTGTTTGCTGAAAGACATCTGCTGTGTGGGGAATGTCCGTGAGAGTGACTCATTAGCCCCAATAAGTTCAGTGAGCGTCAAGCAGCAAATCAACAGACAGGAAGTGGAGCTGTTTTCTTTGAAAATAAGCACTGTGACAAATGTTTTGCCCTAACTGGGAAAATTAAACAATTCCATAGCTAAGTCCGTTCCTAATTGCCCTTTTGATTTAAAGCTTAACAGACACTTGTTTAAGATGGATGATCACTTGAAGGGTTCTGGGAAGTCTCACTGGGCTACAGTTTCCACTCTCCCATATTAGTCTAAAATATACAGAAGAGGGATGTTTAATTTAGCTGTGAAGCGCACAAGCAAGCATTGAGATTTTTTTAAACAGAAGGAAGGTAATCTACGCAGCAATCACATAACAAACAACAGAGCATTTCAGCCACGGGATGTGAGCTCCAGTTTCAGCTGCCAGGTAACAGATCTGTTGAATACATCTATTAGTGACCAGAAAATTCAGATGGTTTTCATTGTTCATGCAGTTGGCATGGAAAGCTTATTTATTCTAGACTCAAACCTTGAAACCCTTTATCATTATAATGGATCTCTTACAGACATATGACCTCAGAACACTGCAGAGTCCGCATTAGTCAGTGAATTGGAGGACACACTAATAGTCTGCATGACTGTTAGCTGTATGATTAATAAGATTTCACTTATTGTGATAAATGGCTTGAGTCATCGAGGTCTGTTTAAGGCTTCAGGACCACCTGGAGCAACAGTGCCAAAGGAGCGACTGCTTTGACGGCTCAACTGTTTTTACACGTTAAAACCATAGACTGTATGGTTAAAACAGAGAAAAACAAAAAGGGCCTCATAGCCTCAACGGGTTCAACAGGGGGCATGAGCCAAAAAGCCACAGGGCACAACAGAAGGAACCGCAGAAATGTTTTACATCCAGTCCAGTGAACAATAATAAAAAACACTTACAACAGTACAATCTGCTCCTCATTACATGAAGTAACATAGTTTGCAGCTTTGTTGGTATAATTGGATGGGATACTTCCTTCTAATTGAATGAAAGTTTTTTCCAATGTCATTAAAACTATTACGGCAGTGTGATTTGTTGGAAGGAGGTCATGGAAATTATTAAAGTACTATGGACAAACACAATAAAGGTAATTTCATACAATGTTCTTAATAGTTCATCCCCAGAGCATTCTTGCAATTGATAAGTGTTGCACATCTACCCTGCTGTACTTCTCATCCTCCCATGTTACATTCTCAGTTTATATCGTCTTTTTTTAATAAACAATTTTTTGGGGCTGCCGTAAAAACTCATCCTGAACTGCTTGCAATAGTCAAGTCATTTCTGAACTTCTTATTGCACTACATGTTGGTTCCAATGCACCTTGACCTTGCTAAAGTTAAGTTTGATGACACTTTGATAAAATATGTCCAGTTTCTATCGTCGAGTTCCTCCTTTTACTCAGTTCTACTGTCACAAGATGTCAGTGGAATGGACCTTGCAGGATTTAAACCGTACTATGATACCATCTAGTGGTGGTGTGGAGTAGTATTACTATCCATACCACTGTAAAGGAGAACAGGAGATTAGCCGTACTTTTTCATTGATTAAAAACACTTGCTGACATTCTGTTCAAGTTTATGATTAAATAAGTTATATATATCGAATTGCCAGGTAAATGTAATGATAATATTAATTATGTAGGATTTCTGGTTTGACAGAAACATGCCTTTTGTGCAAGGTATCGGGACATGTCTTCCTAAAAGTTTGTTTTATGAATTCGGATACATTCACATCTCATTTCAATTGGCAATAATCAATAGTTTTGTTTTTTTTGTAGTTCCTATAGTTTGTTCTGGAAATGGGGGCCATTTCTCTGATTTTGTGAAAGGGTTTTACATATCAAGCTGAGGTTTCTTTACCTGAGTCAATATCACCATACAGTGCATTTGAGACTTCCCCATTTCCAAAAAAAAAGCTGAGATTTTCCATTGAACTTCATATTCATTGTATTAAGGGAGGGGAGGCGTGTGGCACAGTGGATAGAGCCTTGGTGTTGGGATCAGGGGGTCACAGGTTCAAACCCCACTGCAGTCAGCATGTCGTTGTGTCCCTGGGCAAGACACTCCTGTGGGGATTGTCCACAGTATTGAGTATGTAAATCGCTTTGGATAGAAGCGTCTAACAAGTAACATGTAATTAAGTATACGTTATGCTGTTAGAAATGGATGTTGGTCAAGCTCCCACACGTTTTCTAAATTAACTGCAAGTACATGCAAACAGCAAATAGTAAATACA